ATTAATACACTTAAATTAAACCATTAAATCTAGCGATGCAGTTTCAGCTTTAAAAACTGTACAAAATAACACTGCCTTGCTATCTTTTGTCCAACAGTGGGGACACAGTCAACTCATTGGAAAATGGCTTTTTTGGAATAGTCCGGAACTTGACAAAGGCTGGCGATTCACCGCCGACTGTGGATGTAAAAGTAAAGCCAACGCAGAAGTGCTCTCGTCCTGCATTCTTCTAAAAGCCAGCAGGAGCGTCAGCTCTGCCTGCAAACACAAGTCTGATTGGACAGTTCACTTTCAAAGACCAACAAAGGGATGACCAAATTCCAAACTTGAGGTTTCAAAATGTTGATGTCACAATCAACACATCCATCTTCATACGCAGGTCCGGGTTCCGATGTTCAGGGTCAGCACCGCAGTGCAGTGAACCACCCCAACCCAAGCTCACAAATAACAGCATTAACACATACCACATGTTTGATAAAAGTGTTTTACTGTCTGCTAGCGTTCAAGGTTAATCCTGGTAGCATACTTTAGCTGATTGACAATAACTGGTTCACTGCCAAAGAGCTGGATCTCTGGACGTTTCACTGCGCATTATACCATGTATGACTGTGTTTGTGACCAATAAAGACCTTGAATTCTTGTTTTTGTTCCAGTATCACAACCATGTTCACATACGATGAATAGAAATTCTTTGACTCCAGGCCGTCAGACAGGAGGATTTCTTGTTTTCCTTTGTCATCTTTTACTCTCAAGTTAAAGGTGGACTCTACAGTTCTAGAAAAAGATTGTTGAGATGTAGCTAGTTAGCGTGTTTAGGTAGCTCCCATACTGTGTACAAGCTCAGCAGCTGGACATTGCATTGTTGTGTGCATCAGCCTGAGACACTTTTCAACCATTTACAGAGCCAGTGCTACGATACCTGTTAAAATCAAACTGAAACACCACCAAAACTAGTGCCCTGAAACATACACTGTATGCACTGGTGGATAATATATACTGAATAATTGCTATAAATCTCTCAGGTGAGGGGTGAGTGTTATACTCTCCAAACATGCACATTTTGTTATTTTCTCAAGTTTGCCTGAGTCCGTATGGACCACTCTGCGTTCAGTCTGTATGGAAACTACTCTACAGAGGCAGCAGTGTGTACGCAGTATATGCTGATGTGACATACTGTGCATGTATGGAACAGAATCCTCCAAACACACTCCACCAGACTAAAAAAAGCACCTAAAAAGCAACAACCACACTGTTGCATGTGTGTGCAACCATAACAGAGTATAATCAAGGCTGAGATGGTGACAAAGGTTTCGGGGTCCCAGTCGCCTCAGTAAGTAGCACACTGACACCAGAAAGAGCGCGCAAAATGAATTCGACTTTAAGATATGACCTTCAAAATGTAGTCTTGAGACCAAAACTGACCTTATCCACTATATACACACACACACACACACACACACACACACACACACACACATAGTCACACACACACAGCGGACAGTGAGGAGATATTTGCTGACCTTGCTGTGGATAGTTGTAAATTTTTTATGGGATTTTTTTTATTTATTTTTTTTTACAAAAACAAGAAAAACAAAGATATTGGAAGACGGTCTCAGTGTGGCTAAGCTGTGTTTCAGAGCACACAGTATTCAGCGACAGCATCAGTTGTGTAGTAAAATTCCACGTTCAATACATTTCCCATGTTTAGCACGTCTGTATAAGTGAGAATTACACAGATTTGCACAACACAACATCATTTTACATCCAAAACCAGATGTGAACATGCTCTATTGTGGAATTTTCTATCATCGTTGTAATCACTCAATGAGCAGGCGGAACTGCCATTTTGTCATCGACCAGCCAGGTCTCTCAGAAATAATGATTCACACCTGCTCTGTTTTCCCACTCACATTTAGGTGCAACGCAATGTACAAGTGCATTAAGTTTTGGGAAATACGGTGGTTTGGGGACAATACGAATAAATATGAATCCAAAGGTAAAGCCAATCACAATCATTCTCTAACCTTAACTGCTGCCTGAACCAGAACGTTAACACCACAAGTGGATGTTGGACTCCATAATCAGATATTTTAGCAGAACGAATACTGACAATACTGACATTTTCAGGATCAAAATATTTGCAACTCATCAAATACATAAATTAATAGCATTTTCTAATTAAAGTCATAAAATAACAATTTTGTTTCCTTTCAAATGTATTTGCTGTAGCAGGCTGGTTTTACACAAACAGTTTCTGCCAGTTTCCTGAACTTGCAGATGTTATATCTTTTAGAGGCACACGTGAGTTGAGACATTTCACAAGATGTGTCCTTATATGAAATATGTCACTTCCAAAGTGAAGACATCAATTTTGAAAAGTTAAAAATGCAGCTCAAAAGTGGAATACTGCTCATGAAGCATGACTGTGGTACGACATGGACACTAAAGATCAGGCAGCTGGAAACTCAGGATATTGTTGTTCACATCTGGAGGACCACACACATTTAAACACATTATAATGCAAAAGCTTTTCCTGCCACAGAGTCTCGCTCGGCACTGACATCTCAAACAGTGGCTCATTTCTATGTAGTAGCACATTTTTATTTGTTCTGCATCTCTTAAACTCACTCACATTTTGAAACTGTCTCACAAAAAAATCTAAACATTTTGTAGCCTCCAAATTAAAACCATATAACCTCCCAAGATTGCAAAAACTCCAAACACCACAAGCTCCTATTGGACAGAGCTACCAGCTGGCCAATCAGAGGACAGAACAGAGAGCTGTTAAGTCTCTGCTGCCAGGCTCAGAATACGGTGAGGTCTCAGGAAAATATTACTGAATATAAACAGGAGAAAAGCCAATAAAGGAAAATGCTGCCAGGAGAGGTCAGAGGTCAGTGACAGTTTTACCACTTTGTGTATTTTAATAAAACTTTAGTGATGGAATGTCAAGTTTACTGTGTTTTGTGGCAGCTGAATTAGTGCTTAAAACTCATCATCGTCATTTTATCTGTTGTCCTATCATCATGAACTGAATCTGATCGTGTGTTGCTACTGACTATTTTCATAATCAAGTAAAATGGAAAAGATCAGTCAGTTTTCAGAAAAATACTACTAAATACATACTAGATTTTGCAACAGATCAAAGTACTGTCTTCAAATGTCTTGATTTTTTCAGCAGTCACAAATTCAAAGGCATTCGGCTTCCCACCATGTGACAAAGACAATGTTCAAATTGTCAAATCTGATGCTAATATTTGAGCTTCTGGCTTCATGTTAAAATGCTACTGGGCAGTTACTTTCATCATTCAATAAAGTAAAATTAGTGAAAAGTTGTCCAAAATTGTCGTATTCCAGCTGCTTTTCTTTGTCATACTTCATTGTAAACTAAATATTTTCTAGTTGAACAAACCAAGATATTTGAAGACATTCACTTATTTCTCTTATCTTGATTTTCATACACAAATGGTTAATTATTTAGTCCAAAAACAAATTAGGAGGATATTTAACAATGATTAACAGCAGTCTAATTATAAGTGACCCCCTGGCTTATTTTACCCATGGACTGATTATTTATTTACCCTTTAAAATATCAATCCATGACAGTCCAAACCCAAAGACATCCAGTTTACTGCTATGTGGAGATGAATAGCACCAAATTTTCACATTTAGGAAGCTAGAAACATTTTTGCTTAAGAATTGTTTATAAAGATTATTTGATTATCACCGTAAGTGTTGATTAACCAACAAAAGAAAATTCTGCAACTCTTTTGATCATCAATTAATCATTTTAGTCATTTATCAACCAAAAAACATTGTGAGAAATTCGACAAAATCTCTGAAGGGAGCTTTCTGTGCATTTCTGTGTCAAATTTTATTAACAAACTAAATATTTTTTAAAAAACAGGACATTTGAAAATGTGACCTTAAACTTGGCAAAACCGTACCAACCATTTGTTCTTCTCTCCTTTGTTTCCTACACTACACATGCCTGCTGTCAGTCAACTTTGCATGTCTTCGCCTCACAAATATGATTATTCACGTAGTCTACAAAATGTCAATAGACACTAAAAAAGCATCCAAGGTGCTGTCCTCAAATGTCTTGTTTTGGTCAACAGTCCAAATCCCATTTTATATTTTGCAGAGTGTATTGTTCACAACCTTCACTCTTCTGATGTGTTTCACAAGAAGGAGACATGTTTGCATTTTGCCTGATGACATTTAGTATTAATTTAATAGATTTTTTGAATAAACGTGCCCCTCTGGTGTTGTTGTTACGCCGTGGAGCTCCTGGTTTGATCCAGTATACAGCTGATTTATTAGAACTGTAACAGCTGAACACACAAAATCACCCTCATTCACGTCTCTTATTTCAAGGCCCTTTCCTCATAGTTTTTATGGTTTAGCTTGGGTTTTCTGTCACAGGGAATGTTGGAAACTAAACATACTGTCGCCATAAACTCTGAATCTAGTGGCTGTTGTGGGATAAACAGACCCCCACCACCCCTCTTTTTTCCTTTACAGCTCTATAATAAAACCTGTGGTTCCTGTTATTTTTGCTATCTGCTGGTTTTCGTTTTTCTAAATCAAGGAAAAGACGATGGACCGATAAAGTCATTTCTTTGTGCCTTTGCTCTCCTCCTGTGTGACACAAATGTGCAGAAATTTCACCCAGACAGACAAGAAAAGTCACTCGCTAAGCTCAACTCCCACACATCCAAAAAAGTCTGCAAATCAGGAACAACTGGACATAAAAGGAGACTTTACTGCCGAACTTGACGTCCAGCAGATGAGTACAGCACTACATGTTCCTGCTGCCTGCTGCTATTCATTATTAAAAGCTTTAACGGTTTCTCTCATTTAGAATTTACTTGTGGACTGGTTTGTCCCGAAACGCACAAAAAAACTGAGAGGGTTTGAATTAAAAAAAAAAAAACATGTTTCCAGGTTTGTGTGTTTTCCTACTAAGTTGCTCTCCTCTGTTTGTCCCCGGGACTGACCTGGGGTTGGAGCTGTTCCAGTAGACTGCGTACCGGTCGGAGATGATGCGGTCGTCGGTGACAGCGGCGCAGAGTGGCAGCAGCAGCAGGCCGAGCAGCAGCAGCAGCAGCGGCCGCCCGGAGAGCTCCATGTGCAGGGGCGCGGCGCGCTGCCTCCCGGCGAACATTCGCGTGTCTTCTCCTCAGCTCTGAGCGCGTTGTGACCCGCAGGCCGGAGAACCAGAACACATGAACCACTCTGCGGCTCCGGATGTTCAAGACCAAATCAAATGTATTGAGTTTAGATCCGCAGAGGAGATCGATACTCAATGATCAGTGATTACTGGCTTCATTCTCCCGCTTAACTTCTTATTTCCCAACAGGCAGACTGATAAGAATCCATTTTATACTGCCGCACCGCTGCATGAATCACTACTTCATGTGAGAACGAATAAATCTTCACGGCGACGGTTTTACCACAAAGACAATTAAATTCTTCCAAATCCGCGGCCAATAGGACCAACTGTCCCAAAGTTTCATTTTCACTCAGTCAAAACCAGAAGAGCACCGCAGTCCTGCTCTCTCTCTCTGCTCAACTCAGTTCCACATTTGCGCGCAGAGCACAAGTCCGGATCCGTGTGTGCTCTGACCGCGGGGGCTCCCGGGCACGATTTATGTCGTCTTTGTGTCTCTTATGTAACTGCTCAACACTTTTAGTCTGCTGCTGTCTCACAAACTCGTAAGTGTCACCGAGGAGCAGCTCAGAGCACCGAGCCGCTCACCGGAGTTGCGCCGCGACCTTTGCCAAACTGTCCCCGCCGCTGGTTTGGAGCCGCTCTAAAAGTTGAAGACCCCGCCGTGAGTCCGCAGCAGGAACGGCTCTCCTCTCCGGCTCCGTCCTATGTCTGAACGTGAAACCAAACTTTCCGAGGTTCGCGCTCCTTTTTCTGTTGCTGCAACTAACCCGAGCCAGCAGGACGAGAGAGAGGACCAAGAAAGACAAGAACAAAGAAAAAAATCCTGGTGAAAGTTTAGAAGCAGCAGCAGGAGGAGCGTTTGTCTGGCTTACCGGCTCAGTTCCAAACTGCTGCTCCCGGTGCGTCCTGGAGGGCGGCGCCTCTCCGCCTTCTGCTCCTTCTCTAACCGGAACACTACGTGACCAAAAGTATGTGGACAGCTGAACATCGTCACCATATGGGACAGGGAAGTTTATGGCCATAACACCATGATCACTGATGTCCTCAAACTGAATCGACCTGCTGAGGCCCCCGCTGACCCTCAACACCCACATCATGTCCTCAGATAAAATGTTTTTTGTTTGTTTGTTTGTTTGTTTGTTTTTGTTTTTTTAATAGTCATGAAAAAAAAGATCACTCCAATGTTCCAAAGATTAATGTTTGCTAGAATGTGTTATTTGGGGGCTTTGACACATAACAGCAGACTTTTTCACAACTTTTTGACATTTTAGACACTAACTCAATCAATACAATTTTTAAAGAATCAGCTGTCAGATGCATTGATAAAAGAAATAAGTAATAATGTGCCTCTGAGGGTTTCTGTAAGTTGATTAATAGACACAGAAATTACATGAACTTCATGAAACACAGTGAGCTGAATTTTAACTAAAATAATAACAGACAACCCTTTTTCACAATGAATGTACAGAAAGCAACAAAAGTGAGAATACTGCCTGTGAAATGTAACTTAAATGTCAAATGCTTGTAGTTTGTATCACCTTTTTGCCTTGCATCAAAGTTGAACAGTGGAGAATTTGTTTCATATATAGTAGAAACCAGAAGTTTACATACACTGCATAAAAAGACACATAACCTTTTTTTTCTCACTGTCTGACATTAAATCAGACTAAACTTTTCCTCTTCTTGGTCAGTTAGGATTACCAATATTATTTCTATTTGCTAAATGCCAGAATAATGAGAAAGAGAATTTTTTAGAGAATTTTTTTTTTTATTACTTTCTTCAAAGTCAGAAGTTTGCATACCTTTCCTTAGTTTTTGGTAACATTGCCTTTAAACTGTCTGACTTGGGTCAAACGTTTTGGGTTTCCTTCCACAAGCGTCTCACAATAGTTTGATGAATTCTGGCCCATTCCTCATGACAGAACTGGTGGAACTGAGTCAGGTTTGTTGGCTGCCTTGCTCCACACGCCTTTTCAGCTCTGTCCACTAATTTTCTACATGACTGAGATCAGGGCTTTGTGATGGCCACTCCAAAACATTGACGTGGTTGTCCTGAAGCCTCTTTGTAACTAATCTGGTGGTATGCTTAGGGTCATTGTCCATTTGAAGACCCATTAGTGGCCAAGCTTTAACTTCCTGTCTTGAGATGTTGCTTCAATTTTTCCACATAATGTTCTTTCCTCATGATGCCATGTATTTTATGAAGTGTACCAGTCCCTTCAGCAGCAAAACACCCCCACAACATGATGCTGCCACTCCCGTACCTCACAGTTGGGATGGTGTTCTCAGGCTTGCAGACTTCTCCCTTCTTCCTCCAAATGTAACGATGGTCATTATGGCCAAACAGTTCTGTTTTAGTTTCATCACAACACAGGACATGTCTCCAGAAATGAAGGTCTTTGTCCCTGTGTGCAATCTGACTGTATGTAATCTGTGTGTAATCTGACTTTTTTATGTTTCTTTTGGAATAATGCCTTCTTCCTCTCTGAGTAGTCTTTCCGCCCATGTCAATACAGGAGCAGCATCTTCACAAGGTCTTTTGTATTTTTTGGGGGTTGATACGCACATTTCAACCAAAACATGTTCATCTCTGGGACACAGAACCCATCTCCTTCCTGAGTAGTATGATGGCTGGACATTCCCATGGTGTTTATACTTGAGCATAATTGTTTGAACAGATGAACATGGAACCTTCAGGCATCTGTAAATTGTACCCAAGGATGAACCAGACTTGCGGAGGTCCACAATTCTCTTCCCGATAACTTGGCTGATTTCTTTAGATTTTCCATGTTGTCACAAATGCAGTGTGTTTGAGGTGTCCCCTCAAATACATCCGCAGGTGTGCTTCCAGTTAACTCAAATGCTGTCAATTAACCTATCAAAAGCTTCCAAAGCCATGACATCATCATCTTGGCTTTCCCCAAATAGTTTGAAGGTATAGCAATCTTAGTGTATGTGAACTTCTGAGTTTGAAGAAAGTAGTAAAAAAACAAATCTCTAAAATAATTCTCTCTCATTATTCCGGCGTTGAGCAGATAGAAATAATTTTGGGAATCCTGACTGACCTGAAACACGAAAAGATAGGCTTTTATGTCTTTTTATACAGTGTATGTAATCTTCTAGTTTCAACAATATTCAGATTATGTGTGCATGAGTGACATACAGTTTAACAGCAGTTTATATTTACTCTATAAAAAATACCGGCTTCAGTCAGATTTTAGTGCAACTCAACTCAGCACAACTTTAATTACTGAGATTCAAATCTTTGACATTTTTCAGTACCTTGTATGTCCACCTTTACTAATTTTTAAAAATAATTTTCTTTAACAGGCTTTTTCACCTTTTTTGACAGAGCAGTGAAAGACGGAAAGGAAAGTGGGGAGAGACCTGAAGCAAATGGCTGTGGGTGGGAGTCAAACCCAAGACTGCTGCATCTGGGAACTATAGCCCTGTACATGGGACACCCCGTCCATCGTTATTTTTGACCAAATAATCCTGAGCAAGGAGGATACCAGTGCCTGGAGAGATGTTCTGCCTTTCTTCAGAGACATTTTTTGGGAAAGGGCCATGAGCGAGATCCGAACTCATGACCTACACATTGGGACTGTAGCCCTGCACAAAGGACGCCAGCTCAACCAGGTGAGCTATAGCGGCACCCCAGATTGTTGGTTTTTACCATTGGGCTCCTGTGATGTTAGATTTTAATGGCTCATTACCTTGAGGATTATGTTATTGGATCATCTTACTGAATTTAATGACACTCTCTTGATCTCTCATACTGGAGACTGTCCCCTTAAAAATTTCTAAAATAACAAACAAGAAATAATCTTCTCCCTCTGTATCATTCTGCCACTGTGGAAAATAACCACCGTCTTTTACCCACAGTTTCAAGAACACAGATCTGCTAGAATGGCATGTTTGTTGTGTTTTGCTTGTTTTCTGTGCCTTGGTGTGTGGTGGGCGTGTTTTTCCTGTTCTCCCTGCAGGCTGGGCGGAGCCGACCTGAATGAGACAATCAAGCGCTGACAGCTGCGGCACATCTTCTCATCAGCAGCCAGCCGTACAAATACGGGCAGCTCACAGACCTGCAGCGCCAGATGATTGTGATTCCTCACCGTGGTACAGTCAGGCCGCTTAGCAGCAACCTCTCGAGCAACGTCAAGCTAAGTTCACAGTTTTTTGAGTATCTCAAGTTCATGGTGTTTCTCCTCTGCTTCTCCAGCGTCTTGTCTCGGCTCCAGCCCCAGTCCTTCTCCCCACACGCCTGCCGCTTCTTCTCCCTCGAGCACGCTTCACTGGAACACACGGACACGAGCACCTTCACCCAACGGATCTCCGTTCGAGCACCTTCACAGAGAAGATCTTCACGAGAAACGGATTCGCACCAGCACCGCTCCTGGAGCACAGCACCTTCACCTACCACCGGGGATCTCCACCACGTCACCCCCACTGGATTCCTCCACCGGGACACCCTCACTTCCCCTCCCTTGTCAAATAAATCTTTTCCTTTAACATTTTCTCCCGCCTCCCTTTTTCGTTTGGGTCCACCTGCATTGATTCTGAGACTCGGGTCGTCACAAGATCTGTCACATATTTGTCCCTCTGTTTGACTAAACTTTGCTCCCAGCCAGGACTGTTTGATCCTGATATCTGTGTATCAGGATCCTGATGCACAAATAGGGGAACACTTGAACAAATAAAAGTTTCTTGTTATTATTAATATTATAATTATACACGAATATAATAAATGGGTAACACTTAAACAAATAAAAGTTTCTCATTATTATTATTATTATTATACACTAATATAATAATAATAAAGAAATCACATATGGCTTTCTTTTACAGATCAAGAAGGGCAAATATCTGCATAACAGTCTGTTGATTCTGGAAATTCTGGGCTTTGGTTAGCCCATTCCACAACCTGTCTTCCTGTCTCTTTTAGCAATTCTTCGGTGGATTTGTTAGTGTTCTTAGCATCATTATCGTGTAGAAACATCCTGTTTAGCTTTCAGACAGATGGCCTCATGTTATCTTCAAGCACTCTTCCAAGAGTGATATAATGCAGAATTTATAGTTGCATCAGTAAGCAATGTGCCCAGGCCCTGAGGCAGAGCAGCAACCCTAAACTAGAACATTTCCATCACTGTCATTCACAGGTGTTGTAAGATTCTCCCCATGAAAAGATGTTTTAGTTTTGTGCCAAACACGACTATCGTTACTGTGGCCAGTTGACACGACCATTGAGCTGACTGTCCAGGGAATGTTATTCCTAAAGGGGTGTTTTTGCCTGTGTGTTCATTGACAAACTGTAGTTTTGTCCTAACGTTCTTTTTGGACAGCAAAGGCTTTTCCCCTGCATACTTCCAATGCAGTTCAAATTTGTGGAATCGCTTTCTGATTGGAGATGCAGCACACTGGCACGAACAGCTGCAGAGCTACCTGTAGTTTATGTGGTGAAATTACGGGGTTCATATAATTTCTTTTTGCATCATACATTCTTCTGTGTTAGGCTGAATTTGCTGGGGAGGTCAGTCCTGTTGACAGATGATGAAATGTGCTTGTTCAGATATGTCTAACAATTCAAGTCAAACAAATCAAACACTAGTTTTCTTCTCTTTCTTCAATTAGTTTTGCGTTCTGTTTTTAGTTCTGGCTTCTAGTTCTTAGTTGTTGGCTAGTTCTTGTTAGGGTATTGGCTTTTAATCATTGACTACTGGTTTTCAGTTGTGGTTACTAGTTTTCACCGGCTTTTTGGTTGTTACCTACGTGTCATGTCCAAGAAGTTATGCTAAGTTTAGTTTTTGTCTTGTGTCAATGTGTCATGGTTTCCTGTTTTATTTTGACATTTAACTCTCCTCTCGTTTCAGGTAACTTGCTCCTTCCCCTTGTGTGTTTCCCACTGTCTGATTGTCTGCTCTGCCCTGATTGTTTCCACCTGTTCCCCATTACTGTGTGCGGGTATTTATAGTCTGCATCTCCCTTTGTCCTGTGCCAGTTCGTCTTGTCTTTTGAAGTCAGAGAACCTACACCAGTCCATGCCACGTTGTCTTGTCAGAGTCAGGTTTTTGTATTCTTTTGATACTTTGCTTTGTATTAACCACAGTCTTGCCTTATGTTATTTTGGTACTTTGTCTTGCCTCTTTCTATATTTATAGTTGTTTTTCCTCGTAAGAGTGATTTTTTTGTTATGCAGTATTCCTAAAAGTTTTTCATCAGAGTGTTTTTTTTTTGTTGCTGTTATTCCTCTCAGTGAGTAATTTTTAGTTGTGTACTTTTTCCTCTGTAAGAGCGATTTTCATTTGAAACTTTGTCATTAAAAGATCATTTATTTGAACTTTGTCTCCTGAGTTGTGCAT